GGGCAGTACAGTACACTTCATGTTCATCCGAATGTTTACGTAAAAAAAAATAAAAAATATTTTGATGGACTTTTGCAGTTGACGAACGATCGATATAACATTTGAAGTGGTTCGTCTAGTGGAATGTTCCTTCGTGTAGTTTCGTGAAAACGTCCACCGTTACAGAGGTGTTTACTGCCTCCATCTTCAGGGCGATACATAAGCCACACGTTTTACCTGGCTGCGCGGTGCAACATCCCAGTAGACTCTCTGTCGTAAGAACCTGAAATCTCACTACAAAAATTTGCTGAAATATTAATTATGGTGCTTCTTGGTCCAGTATAATCCTTGTTTTACGTTGAGGTAAAAAACAACGTTATTATTAATTTAATTGTGTTTAAAAAAATAACTCGTATGCCTACTGAAAATTTGTCACAATGTTGAAATGATTTCTTTACCAAGAGAATTGATTTTTCTTCTGACAGATCCAGGCCTCTATATTTTAAATTATGTTGCCTTAAATTTATGTTTTAGGCTTACATGTAGAGACTTATATTACTTTATATTTTATACACAACAACAAGATTATAAATTTAATTTGTAAACCTTTGAAGTTTAAATACATTAAGAGCACAATAAGAAGGCGTTTAGACGTCTGTTTATTTGATTTGGCTGTAAGTACAATTCCCAGTTATTGTGCTAACACGGCCTCAGGGAATGCCGGTTTTTGTAGATAACCACTCTCCTTTGAGTTTGTTATTTAAAAGTAAATATCGACTGTTATAAAAATAAAATAACAAACCTCGTGTTCAAGTCGATCTGTTCCATGTTTGTAGTTTCACTATCAAAGACATACCACCGCCAGTAGTAAGCCTATGTGATTATTAATGCAAGTGGTTCTGTTGTGTTTACGGAATGTTGCCGCAATGCATGTACGTAAGTCTCCAGAAAAAAACGAATAAGTGCGCCAATTTACAAATGAGCTTACTTAATCCTACATTTTTCAATCCTGCTCGCGATCCGACAGCCATGCAGTTCTGATTACACATTCAATTCCTCGTTACATAAAACTGAATGCTTTTTTTTCTCATTATATGGCAGTTCCCATTTATAACACAAGTCTCACAGACTACTTGTTTATTGAACAACTTACTTTTTATATGTGGTTTTAGGTATCAAGTGTATACAGTTATTTGGGAGGGATTGGAAATAAGCATTGTGTGTCGTATTAATAATGATTGTGGAGTCTATGTAGATACACGTAACGTGTGTGTACGTGAGCGCGAACGGTTGGTTTCACGCTCCGTCCTCTTTATCCCGTCATACGCATTGGATAGGCTGATTGTGTCTCAGATAAAAGAAATGAGAAGCCCTTTTCTGCCCGGAAAAAAAATCCGTCATTCACACTCTGTTAGTGTTTGAACCAAAGACTTTTAAAGTTATATAGTGTTATTTTAACCTAAAGACCAAACACTATTCGTAATATGACCCCAAACACAGCTGTAAATTGAGGAAATCAGATTTTTATTTTAGTTGTATTTATTGTTCTGAAGGTGAGACAGGGCATCGTTAAACAAAACAATCGAATTAAATAGGATTTGAGATTAAAATAATCGAATTATTAAGTGGCCTACATGCCTTGACATTACTACTAATAAGCTCTATAATTATACATGCTAAGTGCGATCATTTAATTCCGACTGTGAGCTCTACCATTACCATGCTAAAGCATATCAAGTTTAATACAGTTAGACAACGTTTGAAAAAGTAATCAAATTGATTTATCACTACTGTGTAGGGCATGTACTGCACGTGCTGGCAAGAATATGCAATATTACAAGTTCGTGCCTGCATACGTCTACTCTATAATTATTCAGCATTTGTAATGTCCCGTGTCGTTTCATAGTGGTAATGATCTGCAGGAAATGCTTCTTCAGTTATTTTACACTTCTAAGTGTTAACTCGAGTGTAGAAGATACTGTCAAGTATATTGCTGTAGTAATTGTAGCCCGTTTAGTCACTGTGATTAGAAAGCTTGTAAAAGGCTTACATACGTAAATTCACGTTATTGAAATAATTCCTTTTTACTACTCCGAATTGTGTGTGTGGCTAAATGATGCTTTTCTTTCATTTATGTGATTTAAATTAATTTATTTTCGAAAATCCCTTAATCCATGTTCTTTAAGGATGAGAGACTAAACCTCATAACGAAACAAAACTACAGTATGATTTTGAATATTTTAACTTTTTCGACTTTTAGGTTTAGATCTCCACAAAATTGTTTGGATTTAAGTATTATTTTATGGAAAAAATTTCTGCTATACGTGTACTTAGTTTACTATCAGTGAATGCAATTAAAACAAGAACTTAACCAAACTTACAATTAAATTTAACATTTAAAAAAATAGTAAATCCTATTATCGTATGTAACAGGTTTTTGCGGCCATGACTCGGTCTCTGTAGCCTCGATTATGTAAGTGAGATTGAGTTTAAGACAGAAAAGACTATATCATTCATCTTATGTTGCGAAGAATATGCCTTAGCGTGTTTTATATATCCTTTTTGCTGCAAGTGGTTAAAAGTTCGAAAAAATCTTCTGGGTTACTGAAACAGAAATGCAGCTAGTCAAACCAATCATTGCAGTTCAATTTAGTAATAAAAAAAATTAGCACTCATAGTTGAAGAGACCTTCTAACCTTATTCTGTGTTTTAGCCTTTCATCCTTTATCCAAGCCATCCCCACCAAGTGGGGTGTCCCTGTCCTACATAATATGAGTCATCAGGTTTATCAGAAGCGGCTGGTTGCTACTGGACACGACATGCGAATCTCATCTACTGGTTTTTTGTATCGCTTTGCTTCAGTGTGCAGGCTGTGCCCTAGACTCTAGGAACTCATTGGTTTTAAGACGTCCGTCCGCATGTTCGTCTGCATATATCATCTCCGAAAGTTCCGATCCAGTTGTGATAAAATTAGGTGTTTGAGGTTCACATTAATATCAGATCGAATTTATTATTTTGTTTCGTGTTACTTAATATTGATGTTAACTAGAATAGAACAGTGGTATTCAACTGGGGTACGCGAAGACATCTTAGGGGGTATGTGAAATCTAAAAAAAAATATTATTTTATAATAAACACTGAATAATCAGTAATGTAATTTATTTAATTTATTTTAGATGTATATTATATACTATGTATAACTTGGATTATACACCAACAACTTTGGGGGTACATACTTGAAGAGAAATTATATCTGGGGGTAAAGTAAAGCAGCCTCCTATGTAGGCGAACAAAAAAGGTTGAATACCACTGGAATAGGACATAATCCGTCTGCTCTTAAAGGGTTTATCGTTCATAATATTTGTATATGACAAAATACTGACGTCATTTATTTAGGATTGTAACTTTTAGTTGATGAGATGTGGGCCTGTAATTAACTAAATACAAGGACAAAATTTTCTTACCTTAGTTAGTGCTTACAGCTTTGCCACAGCACGTTTATATGTGCGTGTTATTGGCGTTCATTGATCTTTCTTGACCACAGAAAATATACGATACGTACGTAGGATTTGAGGTTTCCACGGCGGTGAGTCCCAAGATGGCAGTCTTCTGGGTGGTAGCGCCGTTTAGTCTGGTAGAAGGTTAGCGACGTTTCAGAGGTCCTGTCTGCCTCTATCATCAGGACGATACATAGTTACGCGTTAAATAGTAACTGATTTTAATTGTATGAGTGAGGTATATTGCAATGAACGTTAATGTGATCCATCGACCGCCCTGATAATGTCGGCTGCAACGCTCTTGAAACGTCGGTAAACTTCAACCAGATTACACGGCGCAACAACCGTGCAGACAGCTGTCATTGTACGCTGCCTTTCACTGAACTACACCCTCCCGAGCTTGTGCGTTATACTGGGGTCCTGTGTGTCTTTTGGAAATTAGAATGGCGATTCGTCGTGTTGGCTCGAGGCGCACGGCGTTCTTTGGGAAGCAGCCGCCACTGAGGGCCTCTCGTTGTGGCTTGCAGATTAGGGATGATAACCCACAGAATGACGGGGAGTTTTAATCCCTTTCCACCCTCATGTCTCGTGACAGAGGGTCGGGGGATAAATTTGTCTGCGTGCTGGAGTATATGGGTTATCGTCCGCAATTGCTACTTCAACAAGCATTATCATTTTCCGAGTCTACCTACTTTCTGTGTTTGTAAGTTTATTTACCCAGTTACACAGATGTAAAACTCCTGGCAATCTTAATTATGATAAGCGTCTTTCGGCATTGTGGAAATTTTTTGAACTCTCTTACAAACTTATTTACACCTACATATCTACTTGACCAGAATAAAAATAATACTGACATAAAGAATTAGATGGGTGGGTTGTGTAGCACGAATAGTATAAATTATATATTTATATATTTTTTGTTAGATACTTTGAAATCAAGAGACGACTTGGAAGTACATTTGCACAGGCAAGGATGATAGTAAAATGGATCTTGGAAAGATAAGAATACGAATATTTATGTGAGTTGCGATCACTTTACAAACATCTATGTCTAGATAACACGGGTCTTGCGTTCCACAGCTCTTATATAAAAAAATTACTTTTACACTACACTTATACTATAGATAAAACCTTTTTATCTGTAACGTTTTTCCTCATCTCCTGAACTCTTAGTTACATCTTACAAAATTTATTCGCCCACATGTATAAGGTTTTATATAGGCTAGATAATCTTATACATTGGTTGAATTTAGTGAAATATGACTTGAATTTGATTTTATACTGAAGACTCTGTTCCCAACAGTAGTTTCTGGTTTGATTCAGAATTAATATGAGAAAAGCAATCTTTCTCATGCCCGGTAAGACTACTTTGTAATGGAATAAGCAATTCGTAAGCCTCTTACAGTTCATATATAGCAGTAACTGCAGAAGTAACCCCCCGACACGGACGAAATCTCGACTCCGTCCTACAACCACGTGCCACTTAAAAAAACCTCACCTTGAGGCAATGGCGAACGAAATACCTTTGTTGATTACATTTACTTGTAATGAAATTATCCATTTCTTTTGTACACAGTTTCGCATTTTTTTTAATATTATGCAGCTGTTGTACATTCTTACTTGAAAACATCAGTCTTTCCTTGTACTGCAACAGGTGTTCTTTCTTCGTTCATTCCTTTGTATTATGTGTATTCCTCCCATTCCTTATTCCATAATTTCATTTCTGAATGTGACTGTATCTCAATAACATGTTTTTTTTAAAGGTTGTACACAGTCAAATCTGAATGTGGCTCTTAGTCGGTTAATGCACAGCAGCACTGTAGTAGTGCTGTGTTTCCGTCCAAAGCACTTCAAAAATCCAAGCACAAGAAAATTAATTAGGTTTGCGGAACTACTTCTTCTTCTATGGCTATCCGGTCCGTATTCGGTCCATGGCCTCCTCAATTCTCCTCTTCCATTCGGTCCTATCCTCCTCTAGGTTTTGTGGAACTGCATAACATAATTTAGAAGGTGCTGAACATCCATTCCGCATATTTGACATCCAGGTTATGTGAATAATAGGCCTGAAATGACAGACAACAGGCCAAGATTAACCGTCCGTGAATCGGATTTTGGTACCGTCTAAAAACAAGTTTGTGTACGTCTAATCGTAAATAGCATTAATAAAGTTTTCCGCTAAAATAGACAAGAAATACGTGCAACATTTTGGCAGGGAAATCTCGTAAGACGTAACTTCTTTAAATGAAGAGGAAGAGGTGGGAGGATAATATTAAAAAAGATCTTAGATAAATCGAATTTGATAATGGGATGTTGATGGCTAACGATCGTTTCTCATAATGGTATTTTGTCAACGGTGTAGAAGCTGCTGGTTCTACTTAAGTTGTTAGTTACTCATTCTAATAACTTTTCATATGCTAGCACATATTTCATATCCACTCGCAGTTCCTCTTCATCTTGTTGCTTTGAAAGCAATAAAACAAACAAGAACTACGCATAAACCTGAGAGGTAATCTTCCATTCTTTCTCTTCCTCTGCATCCCTCCTTTTTATAATCCTCGCTCTGAAGAGGTCGTCGCGATCTCTTCAGCCGAAACAACCCTCCCCTCCTTCCACAACTGAGCCCCCGGGGTATTTGTAAAACGTTAAACGCCTTTATGTTTTCCTTCAACTCGGATACTGATTTCCGTTCACCGGATGGTTAACCATCCTGCCGAGAGGACTACATACAGTACGGTGTCATGAGAAACAGCGAGAAAGAACAGAAGTGAATTCGTGGACGTCTGAAGAGATGATACTGGCACGAAAGACACGTACGAGTGTCGGAGCTATAGAACGATTGAACACACGAATTTGCAAAGGCGTTACTTGCTACTTTGCATAATTCACTGACTTCCATGTTAGTATATTGAAGATACGGATCTCTTGTTTCGAAGATGTGCTCGGTTGGCTACAAGATACTGCACTGTATATAGCCACGTATTATTTTTATTTACTTATCCAACATTTTTAAACAGTACCAGAACCTGAGAGCTAAGCGTTGTGTATATTTTGTGTAATAAGTTACGGACACATGGTGAATATATTTCGATAACAATTCTTTAGATTCATATGGGCTTCACGTAAAATGAGCAGGGAGTGATGGTGGCTGTGTTCAACTGATACGAACTACAGTCTCTCCACTCGAATGAATTGTATTTAAATCCTTCAATAAAGATAGCATTCTTATTTATTAATAGGAATGGCGGTGCAGCCAAGTGGGTTCTATATCGGATCTTCGAATAATGTTTCCAAGGACCAACGAATATCAGCTGTTTAATGCTGTTTGAGAAAATAATCGTGGTTCTGTCTGAGACTGACATCAAACTCAAAAATACGCTGTGAACGAAATGCAAAGTCGTAGAATGTTAACACAGTTAAAAATGGTTAACTTGAGAGACCCCTTTTTAATAAAATGAGCGATGTGAAAGCTTTTAATACAGTATAACGTCCATTCGATTTCTCCGCCTGTTACATATGTGAAAATTAGGGATAATCCTAATGCTTTGGGGTTGTTCCTTTAGAATAAAATGCCTCTTCGTTTGTATCAGTTCCTTATAAAGGGGTATTTGTCGGTCTGGACGAGCCTTAGGCTCCAACTCGTCTGCTTCACTGACTTCAGATAATGGCCAACTTGCTGTGTGACGCCTTTCTCTCCAGAAAATAAAATTCAATGGATCTTTTTCGTCTTCGTAGTACGATGAACGGAAACAAGAAGGTTTTTCAATATCCTAGGGATCGCGTAATAGATTCGAGCTGGAGATTAAGGCATTACCCCATCCACACCCTTCTTCGGGTTCAGCATTGTAAGCTTAGGGTGGTGACGCTGTGTTGCCATATTTGTGTTCTTGATTTCGCAGGGAATTACGAATACTATTTGCAAGTACCGGCTCGCCAACGTGGCAGCGGTGTTCCGCGAACTTTTTCCCGCGGCACACCCTAATTTGTTAGACATGACGGCACACCAGAAAATTTTGCCCTACGGAAAAGGGGTAAGAAACAATACATAACAGAACAAAAATAAGATTATCTACATATAAATCCTTTCCCTATCAAATTCCTTGTATATGAAAACAAAAGATTACGCACGTTGGAAAAAGTATCGATGATGAACCTGTGTGTGTGTGTGTGTGTGTCATATTACGAATTCTAATTACGAAAGATAATATTACCTTATTGTAACTGTAATGTGCGAATATGCAATTTATTATAAAAATTCACGGCACACCCCAAACCTCGTGGCGGCACACAGGTTGCGAAAGACTGCTCTGTAATACAAGAATTTTTATAAAAACTCTTCTTCAAATATTCCTGCTCCACTTCATTGCCTTTATTGTTTCTTCTTACATTGCAGAAATAGTTAAGACAGTTAGTCAGGGTTCGTAAATTCTTCAATTATGTAATTTTTGGGTAGGAAGTAGATTATTATTAACAACGAAGTGTCTTTCAAGATAATTATAAACTGTATTAATGTTGTAGAGTTTTTAATATAAGAGAATGTTTAAAGCTAGATGTTAATGTAAGAAAAAAGCGGAATTAACACGGAAGGGAATAGTAGGCTCCTAGTTATAAGAATAAAGGCAGTGTAACAAAAGAATAGCGCTGTTAGGGATAAATATACTAGGCTGTTATCCTCAAAAACCCCTTGTTAATTGGACAGTCTTCTATACAGTTAACTCGAATCAATAAATGAATTAAATGACCGAATGAATACGGTGGTTTCTTATGATAGTATCTACTCTGCTACTTCCCCGGTTCCACTAGGAGACCTAACCTAACCCGACAGATGGTTTTTCGTGAGTTTCCTCAATTCCCACACGTGAATTATGGGACAGCATTATTAAATACACCGCGATAAGTTCCTTTCTTGCATTTTTGCAATTATTTACAGTGAAAGTTAACATATACTGAGGTAAATCAAACGCGTGGTAAAGTTATTCTATCTTGTACCTTAAATTAAAATCACGTAGTATTATTTTTGTATAAACGTTAGGCCGGGCCATACCTGGCTTTCGTAGAGATTAAATATTCTCTTTGTAACAGATACATGAAATATTGAAGCAGAAGTGTAATAAGTAGGTTTACATTCCCTTGAAGATCATTGGAGCCATAGAGCGTGGCTTTACCTCTTTCAAGTTCAAATGGAGCTATCGTTAGAACGGAATGTTGTGAGAATTCTTTAAGTAAGATTAATCTTCATTAGTACATAACACTCTGTTGAACAACCAAACACTCATCTAGCTCAGTGTTCATGTAAAGTGATGAACTGGTCTTAAAAAGTAATTGTCAAGTGAGAAAACATGTCGAGTCGCAAATGACGGATTTCTCTATCGTGAGATTCTCTGGTACGTTTATTATCTTTGGATCATTTCAAAAGGGTGGGATATTCGATGTTAGGGCAAATATGTGTTATCGACATTCCTCCATTTAGCCCTGAACATGGCATCTGCATTGTTTAACCTCTGTTTTCCTAATGTACACATGCATCTTTGCGTCCATGATGAAACAAAACAAAGACATACCCTTTGAATTTAGAGTAAGTCTTTACAGTGGAGAGAAACAGACGGACAATGACTGTCGTCCTGCCCTGTTTCCATCTTATGTATTTCGTTTATAATGAGCATAAAAGTAACTGAAGTTTACTTCTGATAGATACAACAATAGGCTGTTCTGAATGTCGGACCTCCGCTGAGTAACTTTCTGATCTGGTTTGTCGCTCAGAGAAGTTTCAACATGTCTTCCGTCATCTGCAGTCGCGCATTAAGAATTTGACGCACACAATACTGCCTTGACCGCCAGTCTTCTGGAGAACAGCGAAAACTCTACGTTCCTTTGTATAACATGAGCGCCTAAGGATATTTCCAGTATCCTTGTGATGTCATGCTTGGTGCTTTGTGTGAACCACTTCACGCGATATCCATTCGTTTCCAGAAGCAATTACAGAGCGATTTAGAATGTGTCCGAATTTTGTTTCTTTTTGTTCCTTCCGTGATTAAGACAACGCGAGATAATATTCCTGTGTTCAGGTGAACGGTGATTGGTGATTGATCCGATGTTTATTTAACAAAGTTTTTCAATTGCGTGACGGTCTGGAAAGAGAGAAGTAAGAAGTTGAAATTTGAATTTAGGAACTTCCAAATACGAAGCAGGTGGTGATGAACCGGTGTGAAATCTGATGGTAGCTGTTTTGTCTTCCTGGTACATGGGATATTCCTGTATTTGTACCAGTGTCTGGTGGAACAGTTAAGATACCGATTTAAAGAGCAGGTCCATCTGTTTATCTGAGATAACCGAAGAATCTGTGTCCTCGAAAGATATTGTTATTTTTGCTTTTTACTCGTGTCTGTTCGTGTGTTTGGATTTACAAACCTTAATTCCGTCTGTCAGAGCTTAGAAATCCCCTCGGACAGACGAATTTGTATGTATTCTCTCCTGACGAATATACCTTTAGTCTTTGTCTAAAATAATTTCAGCATGTAACTGGTCTTTAGGTGTAATAACGTATTTCCCGGTAAGTGGATCTCAAACACCTTCTATGTACATTTTAGTTTGTGGTGCAGCTTATGGAACCCTACAGCCTGATTCATGGCTAAAACATGACAGTTTCTCCGAATAATACATAATTCAGAAGTGATATTTATCGAATAACTGACAGTGAATAAAGTAATATTGTATTAGAAGCACGTTTTGATGCTGTTTGCTTTGAGGCGGCCTGTAAATAAATGTGTTAAATAAATAATTATTTATGGACCACGGTTTGCTTCCCAATGTATAGGTACCATACGAGCTTGCGTCCTGCTCAACATTCCAGAAAAGTCATAATTATATTCGCTTCTCATTTAAGGTACCCTTTTCGTCTGCGCTAAGCAACATGAGGGCAGCAAGGCTTTTTTTGTGAATGGACCTGAAAAAATCCCGACTCCCAGAGACGGGCTTTGGCAGACGTAACTGCAACTCTGTAAACTTGCTTAGTCACAATGGGATATATCTTAACCAGAATCGATCCAGTTTCATTGGTTCGAAATTAACACACGAACTCTCCGAATAGATTTCACGTAGTCCCTGGGGGTAAACGCACTGTCGGCTCAGAATTACTGGTTTAGACTGTGGCACGTTTGTTGCTACTATTCCCGTAAGTAAGTAGGGAGAATCTTGATTCTGGGTTTGGGAAATGTCATAACAGCCAAAGTTAAACACTGATTTCTCATTTTTGTGTGTCGGAGGTAGAAACTTTGGGTAGTTAAGAACTTCAAATAGACCGATATCTAAAATAAGTTAAGGAACGAAGTTACGGAGAAAACGCTATAATACGGAGTTCCATGTTTTTCTTGTTCGGCTGTTTAAGATGGTTAGAATTAAAGGAGATTTAGACCAGCGCTGTATCTAGCATAATTTTGTTTTGGAGATTTAATGGGGTGAACCACTTGAGATTGAGGCTTATTTGGAAAGATATTAAAAATCGATCTAAGAGTAATAGATTTTCAAACTGCGAACGTAATTTATGTACCTGAGGTTAAATATGATCGGCTGGCTTGGATACTGTGAGAGGCTTAGTTGAATACATATCAGCTGTTTTTATAATACCATGTATGTAGCTTGGAGTTAAATAAATAAGCTGTGACCGTGGATTGAGCAATCTGGTGGTTGTTCTGTTGAGGTCCAGTGGCCAAGCGGTCCGGACAAGACCGTGAGTATGGAGTGGTCCAAAGTAGCCACTTGCTAGGAACAGACCGGCATTGATTCCAATTACGACATGGGACGTAATTCATTGTTAAGTTTGCACGTCTCCCCCCAAACCCTTCTCCGTGTCGTAACCTTTCTTACTCCCATACATCCTCTTGCTCACTTGGCTACATTCTGTAATGCAATCAGACTCGTCGAGAAAATTTTAGGATGGAGTAAAAATAACAAAGTTTATATCGGCAGTCCTAAAACATAGTCCAGAATGTAATAGGTTAATTAAAATTAGCAAAAGTATTGTTTTTATTAAGTGAATTAGACCCATACAGATGAAAAGATAACTATAATACGCAGTGAATTGAAGTTGAACCATCTTTTTCTTAAATTTATATGTTTTCAGATTAAATTTAAAATATGAAAGAAAGGAAAATAACTGGGAAGAACTTAAACTTTACTAATGTTAGCACGTATAACAGTTACTACAGAATATGTAGTAGATTCGTTTATAATATCCATACAAAATTTCGCGTGGCTTACTTGAATTTTTTTTGAGTCCTCGAGTTATTTTCAGACGAACAGACGGAGAGGTAGACAAGTCGATCTAATAGGCCATTTTCTGCAGTTTTTATTTGCTAATTAATAATTCGGCATGAAAAATACAGCGTTATTAATTTAACAACTACAGGACATGCATATGCTAAATTAATATTGATTTATATGTGGCTTACCGTTGTCTTGACAAAATGCTCTTAAGAGGAGTATAGCCAAAGTTCTGTTTAACGTATGCGACCGAGAAAATGAGGTGGTACGCGGTTTCATCTAGGGGCGGATGATGAAGAGAGACTGAATGTTCCACAACGAATTCAGTGCGTCCTGTCAGACGTCCAGTTAGTCTGATGACAGATTACGCCACTGTAGGTCACGTGCTTCGCAGGCACTAAACGAGCTGCCAGACAATTGGGTGTGAGTCAAGGTTCAACTCCGTTCCTTGTATACCGCGTTCCAGAGTCTTTGGCCGCTGAACTTTGTGAATTGGAACCTCGGAGCGAGTCGCTTACCAGACGTTTGCTGGAAGGGATGGCAGCAGGCCGCGTACAGTACACTCCAAATAAAATATCACCACGGTATGTAACGCAGGAGAGTCGATTTCACTACAGTACACATCACTAGAAAATTAACACTGTAGAGAATATTAGATAATTTTAACTTCTTCACAACTCTTCCGTTCTCTTCCAATTCTTCGATTCCTCACAGACCATCGCTTTCTGGCATATCACTCGATTCATCACTGCCGCTGCTGCTGTTCACTCCATTATCTTCAATTAAATGTATTATACATATTAGTGACAAAGCGTGACTATGTGTGACCTCCTTTGAAAGCGTTACGAGAGGACACCTTAAGTGTTAAAATATCACCAAGATTTTAAAAGCATGACATCGGGTGACATACTGTAAAAGCGTGACGAGATGTGGCCATAAGTGCAGAAACGTGACGAATATTTTCAAAACGTTACCTAACCTAACTAACTAACTTAACTCAACTAAACCTAACCTAACATAACCCAACAATCCTAACCAGTCGTAACTTCATCAAACATATTGCAAAGTTGGAAAAATAACCGAGCCTTATGTAATATAAGGTAAGCGTGATGAAGCGTGACATAGGGACCACGCGTGATCAAGCGTGACAAAGCGTGACCAGGCGTGACCTGCTTTTACCTCGTGACAAGGGATCACCATATGTGATGAAACATGACAAAAATTTACAAAGCGTGATCAAGCGTGATAAAGCGTGATTAGGCGTGACCTGCTATAAAGGCGTGATGAGAGGCCACAATAATTGTTAAAATAGGATGAAGATTTGAAAATTGCGTCTAAGCGTGATCAAGCGTGACCAGGCGTGACCAGGCGTGACTTGGTTTGACCACGTGACAAGGGATCACTAAATGTGATGGAACGTGACAAAAATTTTCAAAGCGTGATCAAGCGTGATAAAGCGTGATTAGGCGTGACCTGCTATAAAGGCGTGACGCGAGGTCACCATAATTGTTAAAATAGGATGAAGATTTGAAAATTGTGTCGAAGTGTGACCAAGCGTGCTCACTTGTGACAAAGCGTGACTAGGCGTGACGTACTATAAGGGCTTGATGATTTGTGGCCATAAATGTCAAAAAATCTCAAATTTTCATATAGTTACCTAACTAACAATATTCATTATTCAAACTTAATCTAACATAACCTAACCTAACCTAACTTAACCTAACCTAGTGTAACCTAACCCACCCCAACTTATTTTATTCTCACGTAACCTATCTTAACCTAACCTAACCGAACATTTGTAACTTAACCTGTCATAACTTCATCTAACATATTGTAAATTATCAAACATTAACCGAACCTTATATAACATAATGTAATTGTGCCGAAGCTTTTCTTGGATTTGGTTGGTCTGTCAAAGTGTTGTTACACGAGGCTTTATCAATGACCAGAAAGGAGATTGGAACAAACACGTGGCTTATTTTTAACACAGCACAATCACAAGAAAACAATTATCAGGCTTCTGTCAAAGACTGTACTGGCGGGCGGAAAATCCTTCTTTCCTTCATTGAGTGGTCCGCATACTGGGCACTCCGTACGTCAGCGGTCATAATCGTTGGATCCAGTTCTAGCAGCAAGTCGGAGTCGTGAACACTCTTTGTAGCATTCTGAATGTATAACCACTGTTTTGTTCGGATGTATTATTTAAAGTATTTCCCCTAACAGCTCGTTCACGATAGAGCTCGTTCTTTGAAATCTGTTTGTTCAGCGAAAGTCAATTTATAGTTAATTTAACATCAATAATAGTAAGATATGGCTGTCTTTTGGGTTTTAGCGCCGTGTAGTCTGGTGGAAGGTTACTAACGTTTCACAGGTCCTTGGTGCCTCCATCATCAGGGCGATGACTGCCATGAAAATAGCCGTCTCTGTACTCACAGCCGTGAGATCCCTAAATGCTAATAATTACGTCAGATTGGGCTTTTATAATCTTCTTTACTGTCTTTTATTATTCTTCTGTCTGTGGTTGTTTTCCATTTCTCTTCTCGTCTCCTTCTTTGTCACCGTTTTCTTATTTATTTCCTCGTCCGCTTTTCTTATTCTTGTTTACTATCCTGCCTGACGCACTTAGGCCTCCGTGCGCATTCATATCTGAAACGGACGCGGGGGGGGGGGGGGGGGGGGGGGTGGGTAAAATAATTTGAGATAAAATTACAGAAGTTTACAGTGCTTTGAGTACATACGCACTGAATTTGAACAGGCCACGTGACGTGATTCGTGATAGGCCTGTCTCAATGATGAGAATTCAAATACAGTTATGGTGGCGATATAGTAACATTAACGATAATATTATTTTCATAATTGTAATGATAATTGTTGGTCTCTGGGACAAGTCTTTGCCGTGGTTCATGATCAGACAGACAGACAGGCTGCCCTGCCCTGTAAGATTGTATGAAAATAATAGGAATAATAATTATATCAGTATTTTGCAAGACGTGGAACACTGAATCCTTGGCTGTTTCACTTTAGGAGATTTTTTATTTATTTATTGTTCTGTCTGACGACAAGTCCATATGAACAGGATCCTTCCATCCTTTTCTCGGACTGGGACCTGTTCATATACGTTCTTGGCAGATGATCCAGAAGTGGTTTGCCATTGCCTTCTTCTGTGTGTGAATGGAGTAATTGCTGGGATGCCACGGAGAAACCGGGAAAGCCCCCGGAGGAAAACTCCGTGATGCCTAGACCACGGCCTTGCCCAACACAAGTTATAAATTGGGGCACCGCCGGGAATCGAACCCGAGACCCCAGGATTACAAGGCCAGCGTTCTAACCGCTAGACCACCGTGGTACCTTTAGGAGATTATCTGAAGATAATGAAAATCGGGAAAAATCTGTGAGGATAGCTGCGTCCGGACTAACACCCAAGTCATAAATCATCAGTATCAGCAGCTACTGCACTGGTAGTGTCGGTATGAAGTTACATTCGAAAAGTTGCTACTTACTTTTGGCGAATGTGTACAGGATGAGGAGGGACACAGATTAACAGCCTCTGTGTTCTCCGTGCCTCAAAAGTCTGTTAAGCAGTTACATCGTCTTAACATTCTCTTCCATTGTATTTTGTTTCTTAATTCTTTGGTCTCTTACGTGTTGATTAAGATCTCCCTGGATATCGTTATGTACGAGAGAACGAGCAATCGGTCGTTTTAATTACGACCGCTCGTGTGAGGGAGCTGCTGGCTGTTGGTTGCTGTTTGATTTATAGGTGACATTATGAGATCTAATAAACAGCGCTAGATGGGGAGGGGGGGGGCATGCGTTGCAGAAAGCAGCGCTGGGCGGACAAAGTAAGAGAAGAGAATTTGCTAGCTTCATATATGAAGCACTTAATCATCGGAAGAAATAAAAATTCCGTTAAATATTACATTTTTGGAAGTTTTCTCTTTTCAGTTATTATTTAACGTGAGGATGATGAAATTCTCTAGCAGTAATTTCAGATCATAACAATACTCAGAGGCTAGATGCGTACTAGTTTGTATGGAGCCAAATTAAAACTTAAGCAGGTTATACCTATGTTATGTCGCAAGGAATTATTTAAATAACAACATTGATGGTCACAAATATTTACAGAAATATATCAGTTTTCATCCATTTTCCTTTCTGCATATCATTCACGTCCTGTTCTGTCAGTCCTATGTCTCCTCCATCTATCCATCCACTATCTGCCTTTCCCCGTCTCTTCCATCTTGTCCTTCTTCATTGCCATCTCCTCACGTCTATCTCTTCTTCTGCTTTTTCAACCCCAGCTCCTGTACCTCGTATCTTCATGCACGGCACACCTCTGAAACTTCGGGAATTTTCTACCGACTGCATGTCGCAGTAGACTTATTTTGTCCATCGTCTAAATTGTAAAAGTATAAAACTTATGTTTCGAAAGTTGGATTTTGTTGTTTTTTTCGGGTAAAATAAAGACAGAAAGAGCACACAAATGCTCCCTGTTTGAGCTAGCCTCAGACCACGTCTTGAAGCCAAAAGCAGGATAAAGATTTCGAAACTTTGTGTTCTTACGATTTTTAATTTATTTAGGCTGAGGCCAAATAAACAGTTTTACGTATTATAACATTATCGTCAAAAACTTTTAGAGCTTTACACTGACTTGTTTATTGATTTTATAAATTACATAACGGGAAATCAGCTGTCTCTATTGTCATTTTATCTAATAATTCTCATCTCGTTGGCAGACAAGATAGCAGTAGGTTACTGAGCTGGCTTTAAATTTTCTTTCCGTTGACAATTCGAACGGAATTGCTCGTCGTTAAACAGAGCAGACTTTGTGTGTTCGACATAATTCTTCACTTTTAATTTTATTTCCTTTCAGGGCCAATTCTGTGTTATCGACACAATACGCTGCAATTTAAAATACCATTCACATTGTTCTTAAACACCTAGAATGTCTATCTTAATGTTTTCTAGGTGTATAAAAGTAGTCTTGTACACAATTTTACGTCGAAAATACCATCGCATTGTTTCTAAAAACACTTTTACGTCGAATTAATTAGATTGAAAACTCTTCAGTATAAGAGAAAAACTCCAAAGATATAAAACACTCACTGTTGTACCATTCTTATACTTAAAATTGCATGTGCTTTGTTTCAGAGGTTACTGTGATTCAGTGCTTCTTTCTTAATGGTATCATTTAGAATTCCGCGCGCTTACCCCTCCTGCCCCTCGGACCACAGAATGGATGAAAGAAATGTGACGAAGCATTGATCTAAGTTGGCCGCTGGACCTTGTCTCCCATTGTTCTACCATTTGCCGTTGATTTCCTCTTGCCAGAAGATGCAGAGTCAATGCCGAAGGCAGTTTGCTCCTGAAAACGATACCGGAATGTTTCATGTTGACTTATTGATTCATAAGGTATTTAACGTCCTGATCAGCTGCAGGGAGGATAAAATATGAAGATGATGATGATGACCAGTGACGTTGGAATAGGATAGTTGATAATATTCGAACCGGGTTTATAGCTCACCTTAATGAAATTGAAGAGCATTGGATATAAAACTGGGCGCGTTCACCATTTTAAGTGTACGTTGTGTGGACTGTTAATATGAATCGTAAAGACTTCTTTAGCGAGGTATTACGTAATGTAGGATTTGAAGTTTTCACGGCGGTGAGTCTGAAGATGGCTGTCTTCTGGGTTGTTAATCCGTGTAGTCTGGTAGACGTTTACCGACGTTTCATAGGTTCTTGCCGCCTCCGTCATCGCCCTGTTGAACGTCTACCAGACTACACGGTTTAACAACCCAGAAGACAGTCATCTTCGTATCAGGTAATGTTTAAATTGGTAACTATTGTGTCGAGCTTGCTTCAACAGACACCAATTCATTTTATATCTATGGGTTTCGTATGATTGTTAGTGTAAACAGCTATTATTTCCTTAAACAGCATCAACAAGTTGATCTTTGTAATGATCAAGTACGAACTGAATTCTGAAATGATATTTCATTGAGCTTATTCTCCAAAGGAGTAGTTATATTTCGGTTTATAGCGGTGAGAATGGGGTTAATATTTATCATTTCGGACACTGTCCCTGTCGTCTCCATCGTCAGTCACTAACTCTTGAAAGTGGATTAACTCCATTCTCACACGACTAATAGAGAAGACTTCATTGCATCCAGTCGTCGTGAAAGATTAAAATCTTAATACAGTTTTTACTTAACCATTTAAAGCTCAGTGGTAATTATACGTACCACTTACTTAGTTCAAATTATTTCAGATAAAACTTATGAATGATTTCTATCAAAGCCTTCCGAATGTGTCTTACGTTTCTAAATAATGGGCTTTAATTACGTATTCAGCCATGGACCATTTCATGGCCCAAGTGCGGTATTGCCTCGTGTGCAGGAGTCTTTCCCATGCAAGTTTCAATAGGCCCTGGTTTTGCAGCATGTGGGGATGATGGATCAGGAAAGCCCTGACATGAGGAGGCATGCCACCGATTCGCCTGCTGCCTGCCGGGACTCTTGTGAGATGGAGATTGTCGAGCGTTTCTGAAAGAAAAGACAAGAAGAAATCAAGAGGTTGGTTTCTATACCACTCTTTTCAATGTTGTCTTTTACAGTTCAAGTTCTGCTTTCAGTTCTCCTTATAAAAGAATCACATATTTTAATTGACAAATAACTTTTTGTTTGACTTTGATCCGCGGGATGTCTTAGCAGAAAGCACTGGTTTGCGGTTTATACTTTGCGTGCTCTTTTTGTGTCTTTCTCGTCTTGTTTCTGTGTGTGACTGTTTGTAGTATTTATATACACTTGCAAGGTAAAATGCCTTGTTTCCGAAAATGGCGTGGTACGCGTTCGCCACATATTTTCAGTAGACAAGTCTTTGAGCAATATATCATTGGCAGAACATGCAATAAATATACGTAAACCATGTGTACCGTAAACAGCCGTAATGTCTGGTTTAGATGTACTTATGCTAAAGGTGAATTGCTGAAGAAAATTTTTGTTTTTATTTTTGTAATCTCTGTTTGCTTCTATCCCTTTTCTTCTGCCTTCAGAAATACATACTTCAAACAAAACCAATAGCCTTGTCTCTTGTCTGTGGTGGTTCTTATTAACACTTTAAAGTCAACGCTCATCTGAATATTTAAAAATTCAGTCCGTACCTCTAAGAGAACGCAACCCGTGTCGGTTATGTGTCATATGCTGAGCATTATTTGAACCCCTTAACTACACTCTGTGGACAAAATGCAATGTCATTGATGGTTAAAGCTGATAGTTTGTGTAGTGACTTTACATGGTTAATTACCGTGTCGTGTGCTGAATGCTTGATTTTAAAATCTATACACCTCAGGTTCTTATTTGCATTTTTATCTTCCTAGTTATGATTTCAACGGGCAATTTTATAAGCGTAAATTGTCGTTTTTCTTTTTGTACTTCATCAGTTCACAAGTAATATACGTAGTGATATTTATGACGAAAAAAGGACAAATTAATTTGGCCGTCGTATGAACTCGACTGTTTCTTACAGTTTTTTGAACTATCATGCGTGCCTGTTTTGTATTTGGGAGGTCTTGTGTTCAGATCTCGGCCGGGAGGCAGAATATCCTGACTGAAGGTATTCGTTGTTTCTTTTTCTTGGTATCTTCAGGCAGACATTTGGATGGCATTTTAACCCTCCTTCCTCGCTACGTACTATAAGCAGTTTAGAAAATTTCATAAACTGAACCAAAAATCAGTCCATCAATCACTCGTACATTAAATGCGGAATTCGAATGAACTCTCTTATTTAATCTATCTCCATATCTCATGGCATCTTTCTCAAAATAAGACAACATGTGGTCAGACTTACCCATCACCCTTCTCTACGTTCAATCTTGCTGGAAATGTGAAGTCCCCCTGGACCAGCACGGATGTTCCGCATTACGGGCCCTTTGCAGTCTAACCGTCCCTCCCCCCCTGTACTGTCGTAGTGGACACACAAACTTAATACCCCCCACCCCCACCCATTCATATGATACCATCAAGCAAATGTCTTCTGCTATCTCCGTCCCGTTCCTGGTAGAGGGGGGACAGATATGGTGGATTGTGGGAACGACAACATTTGCATACGATGCCAGAGGTTTTGTTATGTTATGGTAGCTTTAATCCAGATTAAAGTTAATAAACTGTAGAATATTATATAGATTTAATGTCAAGATTAATCGATAAATATTCTTACCCGAAAACGTCGTTCTAATTAAAATCAGCAATAACTTAGTTTGGTATAAGATTAGATCGACGCTTTTGAAATTTGCTGTGAGCGTTGTTTGTGACTTAAACGTTTGTTTATAGTGTAGTAGAAGTAATTCGTTCGTTAACTGGTTCGCTTATTGCAGGCGTTACTCCAGATTTTGTTGGGTCGCCATAATTGAACAGAGAGACATTTTAAAAGCGTCAAATGCACTGAAGAATGTTTAATTGGGTTTGCAAACAGTAAAACAACTTTTCTTGTGTTAGCGTACTTGAAGGTAGTTAAATGGGCCTGGATAAGAAAGGAAACGTTTGAATTGATCTGCAAGTATTTTGAAGACACTCAGGATATGAATAAGTACATAAGTAAATAAATGAAGAAGCGGGTTAATATAGCAGCAACGCTGTAAAATTATATATTCCGGAGGAGCCCGGTTCATGCCTCTATAATGTTTGTTGAAGAGTACAAATTATGGTGACCCCATTGCGTAATATAGTTATCATTCTGTTTCATCCTCTCTCTTTGTCTTTAATATTATCCTCGTCACTTTATTCTCTGGCCCTTCAGTCTGCCTTTCTGTTAGAATGAGTTCCAGAATTTGTTTCAGTACAAAGACTGTCTAATTTTTAAATGAACTGAGCTCTGAATTCGAATACTTGGTACTTTGTGCCTAGATTTTAAATTTTAAAGTAGTTATTATTGTGCACCGTTATACGTGAATAGTAATGCTGTAACTTACATAGTTGTTTCCAGATGTAAATGTTTCAGTTTCGCATAATAGGCACTTAACTCTGTTTCTTCATGTTGTTATCGGCTCCGAAAATACTCATTTAATTTAAAGTCACTTTGATGATAGTGTCAACTGAATCATTGACAAGATCTGAAGTGAGAACCATTAGTCTTGAGTTCCTCCTAACACATTTGCTTTTATTTATACTAAGCCTTCGTAACAGACAGGGAATTACAAGCAACATGTAACACGTGATGCATGCTTTTTAATAGCATCTGTCTCTTATTGTCACTTAATGCATTATTTGAATTCTGATTAACCTGATTGTGTAATGAACCGTCTCATAATTATGCGTACAGTAATTTATTACAATTCTATCCTTACTTAGTGAGAAACTGAATAGTTAAAGCGTTATCATTCACAAATTTCATTAAATAAATGCGTGCTCGTATACGTCGTTTCTCTGTTATTATATTTCACATCCGAAACTTCTGAGTAGGTTGAGGTGAAATTGATGTTGGTGCATTCAGTAAAAGTTGTTTAACGAATTTAATTCTTGTTCATATTGGTCCAGTGTACACCCTAAATTTTTTTAGTTTTTATGAACGTGAATTTTGAAATCATGTTTTTAAAAAAATTCCTTTCGTACAGAGAAATGGAACAAGTCATAAATAGCTTATAAATCTTATAAATTCTTTGGTATTTATTTGAATCTTTTCCGAAACGAATATTTTCTCGAACTACAAAAAAAAAATCTAATTTTTTATTGTGCACAGGATGTACTTCGGTAGATAGTGAGCTACATTTCTGAACAGCATGGGGGTGATTCTTACCATTTTCAAATTTACTCAGAGCAAATTTGAAAATTGTGAATTGGAAGACTCCTCAGACAGGCGTGGTCGGACTAAGGGTCATTTAGATTTACTTTGGACGCAGACTGCAGTGGTGTGTCCTTAAGACGCTTTTTGATTTGCAGTTGTGAGCCATGAATCCGGAAGGAAGTGTTTATGGCTTCTTTTAAAGAACTGTCTCCAGCATTTACCTGGAGGAACTGAGGAAGATTACTCACAGAACCACTCTGAGTATGCTCTTTAGACCAATATTCGCACCAGGAACGTGCCGATTACAAGGCAGCTACGTCACCCACTACTTTAGGCTCACAGATTATACCACCCGCGCTAAGTGTAAGTAGCATTTTGTGTAGGATAGTTATTATATATATATATATATATATCACAATATTAACGATTGAGACATTTATGCCCTGTGTGGTCTCTTGTAATATCTGTGTGACTTAGTGAGATTTACAGCGATTCATTTCGGTCCGCGTAACATGGTTTCAGTCTTTAACAAGGTTCTTGGGATGCGACTCTGGGACACTGAGGGGCGTAGTGCTGTGCTGCTGAGGACCTCAATGGGGGGACAACATTCAGAAGGTCGTTAAGCGGCGTCCATCTGTCCACCTGTTTCTCTCTAGCCTCTAAATTAAGGAGACTGTCACGCTAATCTAAGTGATAGCTAACTTAAAAGCACGCGAAATATTGCTCACCTTTCGGTTAAATAATCTAAGTAATTTGTAGTTAATTAAGATCACAATAGGGGCCTGATTACGGTTAGGTGAAGGAAATAAGATGATTCTTCTGAGATGTTCCGCCGTATAGTCTAGGTTCTTACGGCTTTCATCAACAGGGTAGCGTAATAAGGCACAAATTTACTGATGTTTCGAAGGTGGTCAATGCTTCCATCGTCACTGCGATATTCTGATGATGTAGACAGCAAGCACCGCTGAAAAGGTGATAAATTTCTGCGAGAATACGTATCTCAACATCCCGGAACAGTAATATTTATGCTTTCCGATGTGAGAAACTGAAATCTTACAATTTCTGACATCTTCACGTTCCTACCACCTTCATACCCAGTGAGAGATATCTGCGACGCTCATCGGATAAGAACCTAACCGAGTAATGCTGAGAAGTATGCAGGCTGTGAGTACAAAACTAAAAAGTATTAGTTCCGTTAAACAGGAATATCTTCGAATGGATTTTCAGAAATCTTGTTTCGCCACTGGCTGACTTTATTGTGTTCGAGAGAGACTTGGTTGCTGCTTTATGTGGAGGATGTCACTGACGCTGAATAGACATACAGCAGGATTAACAATTAGCTTAGACTTGTATTGTAATACTATCTGACTCCGCTGCCCTACCAGATTGAGCTTGCAGTTGAGATAATGTCAGTCAGGACTAAGTAACTGATGTCACTGTCGCAACATTTTCAAACTTTTCTATTTGTTGCACTTTGCATTGTACATATATATCGTATGTTATATAAACACTTATTTAAAATATTTATCGGTTTCTCTTTGCAGTAAACATCAAAATGGCAAAGCTGTTATTACTATTACACCTTGGGCAAATAAAATTAAAATTTTGGCTTTATTTAAATTTGTGAATAAATGTAAACTAGCTGGCTAATAGCTCCGGGCTGGCTGCAACTGGCTAACGATACATTTTATCTGACCGGTTCAGCTGTGTTTCAGAGTATACAGTATCACTGAATCACGAAACAAAAAAAGACTTTACTTTTCGTTTTTCAGCGTATTAGCCGGGCTAACATGGCAAACACAGTTAACATTAAGGCTCCGCCCTTGGACGTATTCCATCATTATCTGTGTGTCTGTACTCTGGTGCCCCCCAATAACTTTGAATCATCTTTCGAATTTTTATTTAATCTTCTACTGACGTCACTTAAATAACACGAGTCACTTTATGCAGGATCCTCACGTTACTGTGGTAAAATATTTTAAAAATACAAAACTATGACTCAGACTGTTTTACATAGAACTTAAAATAACGTAGTGATTTCTGGAGTTTAAATTTGGTTGGTCGTGTTTTTCTGTAGGTACGTAAGTTGTAAAATTGACTAATTATCACACCTATTATTAAGAATTTAATTTATGAAATATTTTATTTGATTAGTCTGATAAGATATATATGTATTATTCGTAACAAAACAGAAAATGTACTTAACGGGCGAGATTTATCAGTTTGTTTTGAAGGAGGCGTATCCCAGGAATTACGGCGTTTGGTGTAACTTATAGCAAGATGTAACCTTTTCTAAACGAGTGGAATTTGTTACTTAAATAACCACGGTCGCAGTCCTTACCGCAAAGAAAACACTAAACTTCATTATTACGAGTATCATTTGGTTGACGCATTTTACACTGAGAATTACAAGAAACAGAAGAAGTGCGAACTTACAGGTGGGACAAATAATTGCCACTAGGCTTCGAAGGGTTTTAATATGCTCCCATGTGGGATGATGCAGTACCAGAATTATCCACCCACCTGAAGTGAACGCAGCGAGGAGGCTGTAACTCAGGCAGGCAGGTAGCATCTTTCTCGTGGCATGGTTTATTGATGCATTTCGTTTGGGACTCACTCGTCTGTCTGTATTTGTCGGATATTCCCACATCCCTCTGCCGTTACTTAGCTATATCAAACATACAAGTTTAATGCTGTAGACTCATCTGCTAGGACATCTTATTTTCTATGCCGGTAACGTAGTTCGTTGCATATCACACGTTTTCCTTGCCAGATAAAGTCATACTGTACCAAATATAAGATGTCCGACAATAAAGACTTGGCTGAGTTCTTAATTGGCTACTTCTCCTTCGTATTCTGAGGACCCCAGGTTCAATTCTCTTCCCGGGGAACGGCTGTTTTGGGTGAAGTCTTCAATGTTTTTTCTCAGTCCCTCCACTCGAAATGTGGAGTAGTAAATTAATTAGGCCACTTTAGCTTCCTTTCATATCTTTATCAATTCATTAATCATCATTGGATGCTATATCGACTGATTACTGGCAGCGTCGTTAAATAAACCACAAACAATTAAGACGGCAGTAGTGTATAACAGTGTTAAAATGCTTTTAGTTTTTAGTCGTACATCTTTCATTAAAGTTAATAAATCCTGTATTTTGTTCAATTGTCA